GAGCAGATCACCAGGAGCATTCAAAGCCAAGTGCTGCTTGTTCTCCTGGCCGTGTCAGGGTCTAAAGAAAGAAATCTGCCATCCACTTACTGAGAAGGCTGAACACCTAGTGGATCCAAGCACACCCTGGGAAATTGCAGAGGAGCTCTGATTCCCCTTCCGGAGTACCTATTGGGCACCTGCTGTGTCTGCATGAAAAGACTAACACAGAGGAAAAACCAGTAGCAGAAGGTGAAACAGCAAAAGCCCTGGCAGGGAAGGAGGCAGGGGTGGGCCCCAAGCTGGGCCTCCTAGTCTGGCTGTCACTTCTGTGATGGGGACAGGCCAGCTGATCCCAAGGGCCCCTGCAGGCTTGACATTCTGGGACTCTAATTAAAGCCTTGGAAACTTCATTCCAGATAGCTGGGGAAATCCTTGGGTTCAATTTCACCTCCCAGGGCTGGCAGTTCAGCTGGCACTGAGGCAGTTAAAAAGGAATGGAATGGAAATCCAGAGGGCCTGCGTCAGCCTAATTTTCTCTCAGCAGACTTGTTTGCTTCTAGATGTCAGCAACTCTTATAGGAATGCAGAACAGCGGCCTTTTCACAGGCAAGGGTCTGGAGGTTGGTTTCCCAAACTTTTCTTTTTACATTGTGAAGTGGATGGGTCCCGTAGTCCAAGAAGAAATCAAAGGCCAAGACCTTTCCAAACTCAGCTTCCCAGAAACAAAACAAGAAAGGTGGGGCTGTGGTCCAATGGACTACAGGGCCACCCTTGTCATAAACAAGTCTCTGTTTTCATGGAAGTCGATCCCACAGGTGGCTGGCCTGTCCTTTCTGGGTCCATGCCACTAAGGCTCATGAGAGGCCAGCAGCACCTCGCACCCTTCCTGACACGCAGACTGTGTCTGCATGGAGGAACCAGCTTAGGGTAAAGGGCTATGACCAGTGAAACAGCTGGTTACTAGAAAATCACCAGAACCAGTCACGAAAAACAAAGTAAATACACACCTCAGACAAGCTCTTATCTCTTATTTCTGCGGTTTGACTGAGTTTCACTCTCTAAAAAGTGTGAGTGTAGCATGGTCCAAGCCAAACACCAACCCTAAGGAGGCTCAGCGAAGCCACTCAGTTTTTAAGGGTGAACATAAGCAGCTTCCCACCAGTGCAGGGGGATATGATGAGAGTGGGTGGGGAAGGGAGGTGGGAGGCCAAGCCCCAAGAGGGGTTCAGCCTTGAAACCTGGTAGCTGTGGCACAATTGCTAGGTGGGAAGCCAGAGGTGAGATCCAAGGGAAGAGGCAAAAGATCCAGCTGTGGAACCTAAGACTGAGGAGCCCATGCATGAGCCTGGGGGAGGAGCCAGGGAAGGAATTAGGAAGACAGATCTGGGCTCCAGAGCCTGGGGGACTCCCTGCGGGCATCTCCTCAGTGGTATCCATATATGTGGGGAGGGGTGGTGATGAAGTTCAGGTTTGGTCATAGTCCACTGGAGGAGCTTAAGGAATATCCAGGTGAACGTGTCTAGCAGACGCTTGGACATACATCTTTGGCACTGAAGGGAGAGGGAGGGCCCAGGAGCCCCAGGGACGATGGCCCCTCACACACCCTCAACCTCCTCTGTCACCTTGGTCACCAGGTCCTCCACATTGTTTCTGGTTCACCCAAACCCCTCTGGAGCCCTGGAACCCCGAGTCTGGGGCTTCAGGCCCCTGCGCTGTCCCAGGGGTGAGGTCCTCTGGGGCCCAGCCGCCCACCGCGAGTGGGGCCCACAGCCCCTTGCCCGGCCAGCCTCTTCCTGCCCTCGTGCCTGCACCCTCAGGCTGGCCCCATGGAAGTCTCACTCTCCAAGGCTAGTCCTCTGCCCCTTAGCACCCGCCCAGTTGGCTCTCTGAGGAGGACCAGGTCAGGGCTTGGTGGGGAGGGGGGCCCCCAGACTGCAGCCTGCGTCTGTCTCCTCTGTGCATTCCTGCCACACTGGGGACATGGGCCATCTCTGTGCTGACAGGCGGGGTTCTGCCACTAGAGCCACTGGTTACCCCGGAAGCCCTGGGTGCACCTCCGCCAGGCAGGGACCTGCCTGCGGCTCAACGAGTGGCCTGCTGTCCTTTGCTGAGAGGCTCAGCACCAGGGGAGGCTGGGGAAGCCACCAGCCTGCAAATGGCAGTGCCCTCCCTCCCACTTGGGGGGAGCAGCCCGCTCTTCAAGGGCTGTCGGGGACAGACAGACATTCAGGTAGGAGGTGAAGGGGACCCGGGGCTGAGGCCCCGTGCCTGGGTTCCTCTGACAGCCTGGGAAGGAAGGGAGAGGTGAGGGAGAGAAAGAGGGGCCACGGAAAGAGGGGAGGAAGGAGGGCACCCACGGTTTTCCTGGGCACCCATTGGAAAAGCGCCACCAGTCGGCACCAGGGCCAACCTGGGACCAGGGTGGCTAATTCTGAGACGTGCGCTGTGTTCTCGGGGCCAGTGTGCTGGACAGATGCCACCTTCAGCAGGTGAGTGGGATCACTACACCAAGCCAACTGAATCCCTGAGGAGGAAATCTCCCAGATTTTCCCCAGCCTCAGACCCATTGCTCCTGGTGGTCTTGGATGGGACTTCTAGGTCCTCTCTCTGGAGACCGTGGGTGCCTGGAGAGACCCTGAAGAGAGCTCTGGCCAAGGACACAGAGACCCTGGGCTGGCCCTGACTTGCCTGTCACCTTGGCTACAGGCCCTGCCCCCTGTGGGCCTGGCCTCCCCCACCTGTCAGCAGCTTGGGCTGGGGACCTGGCTGACCTGACAGGCCCTGCCTGTCCCTCCCACAGGCTCTCAGAGACTGGCCGGCTCAGGACTCCAGGTTTCAGGCATGTGAGGGCCCCCTGGGCCACCCTGGGTCAGCGCTGGCCGCCTTATTGATGCACAGGGATGGGAGGCCAAGCCAGCCTTGGGCCCATCTGTCTCCACCCCTTCAGTCCCAGTACCGCTCCAGGGACAGGGTGCCCCTTCCACTGTGGGGCTGATAAAGAGCTTCATCCCTAGCTTGTCCTCCCCGCCTCCACCAGGGCAATGCCAGTCCAAGGCCCCTCTAGTCTACCCAGTGTGGGCTTCTGGGGCTGAGGGTTGGTCTCTGGGCAGTGTCCTTTGCTTGTTTTCTGCCTCTTGTTCATTTTATTTTTAGCCCACTTCACCAGGCTCTGTCTGGCCTCGGCAGAATGGGAGCATGCCCAGAGAAACTGGTGAGCACATTAGCAAGGCAGGTGGGCAGAGGGTCCACTGAAGGGCTGCGAGGCCAGCTGAAAGATTGTTTGACTAGCTTCATCTATTTATTAGTGCGCTTGGAAACTGCTATTTATATTTTAACCCTCCAGGGACAGCCATGCATCTGTGGATAAAAAGAGTTGGTGTGTTTCCAGCCTTGAAAGTAAGAAATAATCAGTGGTCACAGACCTCGCTGAGACTGCTGGAGTGGGAGACTGCAAAGTGTGGCCCTGAGATGCCCTTATAGTAGCTGCCAGGGGTGGTGGGTGTCTCCATGCCTGCACCCCCTCAGTTTGGAGGGGTTGTGCGTGCTGGGGATCAGTATAAGCAAAGGACAGTACAAGCCCATGAAAAATGTCACAGCAATCATGTAAAGGTTTCACACCTGGGAAAATGGGGACACCAACCTCCCTTGCAGAAAGTGCTAGAGGCCACTGGGAGAGTCGAGTGAACAAGGCTAGAGCCAGGGTTCCTTCCCTCTATGCAAGAAGGTGGCATTCACAGGCCTAGAACTAGCCCCCTCTCCCCCTGCCCCATCCCTGAAGGTATCTGTGGTCGGCACTGCACCCCACCTCTGAGCAGGTGCCGAGCACCCGGGTCCAGCTTCTGCGCAGCTGCCAGGCCAAGGGCCCCATGGGATCCGTGTGGAAAGTGGAGCTAGATGAGCCTCTCTTTGAGGGAGGGCCATTCCAGCTGAATCCGCCCTGATCCTGCCGCTGGGATCCCAGAGGGGCTGACAGGTGGGAGTGAGGCCACCAAGGGGTCAGCCTGGGGGCGGTCAGCAGGGGTTGGCCAGTTGGATACCGGACTCCTGCGCTCCTGCCTGAGCTCAGGCTCAGGGCTCCTGGCAAGTGTCTGACCCTAGCTTCTTGAAGCCGACTGGGAAACTTCCTAATATTAAGGCTTTTCCACTGAGAGCTGTTTGTGTCTCAGAGGCCCCTGTGTTTGGTCTGCTATAATGGCGATGTTTTGGGATGCTTATCAATAAGCATTTTAACAATTTGCCAGGGCCTGCTTGTTATTTTGGGTAGCACTGGCTGCTGTCTCTGCAGCTTACTAATGGGAGACAGTTTAAGGACATGTGTAGACATAACTGAGTTCTTCCTGGAGCAAGACTAGCTTGCAAGCATCTCAGAACTTAACAGGAGAAAAGCAACCCAAATCCAGCACCCCCTCCCAGGAGATCTCTTTGCCTTGCTAATGGCACCCAGCAATGTGCATTTCAATTCCTGGCAGGGCGTTTTCTGTGGAGTCTGGCAGTTCTAATGGTCTCGTTTGCCTTGCATTGTGCGTTCCGGGCCCCAGGCGTTCCGCCTGCTCGGTCTTGGCCTTCAGAGCTACTGGAGGGAAGGAAGCCGCCCCTACCACCCCTGCCTGGGCTCCCCTGCGCCTCCGCCCTGGCCCATCCAAGGGCGCCTGAGTACAGCTCAGGTTGGATGGAGCTCAATTAACATGTCAAGCCGATAGTTTATGGCTAAATCTACATACGTCATAATCTAAAAGCAAACATTTGCCTTCGATAGCTCTAATTTACGCATAGACTCAGTTTACTGTTCGCGTCTTAATTATTTTTTTTGAATAGCTTGGTGGCAGAAAATCAAAGCCTGATAAGTTTTATATTAAACTCTGCAGCTTCTTTTCTTGTGTGTTTTTTCACGTAAAACATCTCATTAATACAGGTAATCTGGAGGATTTATATTTAAACTTTTCCTGCTCATAAAACAAACTGAATGAAAATGTAACTAATCTGTAGAGAAACTTTCTCTCCTTTTGTTTTCTTATCAGATAAATCAGCAAACACATGGGTGAGAGAGGAAGGCTGTGAAACAAGAAAATGAATAAAATTCCAATCAAAGGTATGTTAAAGGAGTTTTACAGGCCCTAGGAAAATGATGTTCCACGAAAGAAGTTCAGTTAACACAGTGCATAGGAGGGGCATGTTTCTTCTTCTTTCGGCCTTCATTTCAGAAAGCGTTCACTTGAGAGAGTCCTCTTGGGCCCCAGCACAGTTGGATGAGGGCCCAGGGGCCACAGGCCACAAGCCACAGGCACAGTAAAACCAGCGCCTGCCTGCCGTAAGCCTGCCTTTTCCCCGGTAGAGCTTTTGCTGCCTTTCTTCTTAGCGTCCGGGCCTCTGCAGACCACTGAGCCATGACAGGGCTTGTCTGCGGCCCCTCTGCTGGCCAGTCAAGAAGCCAGGAGGTGATCCGAGAGCTACCCGTCTCCATATGCTTGGCTTTTGGCCTCGGTGGCCAGAGGAAACTCCCCCCGGATCTCAGCCTAGAGCTTAAAACTCTTGGAGGCGGCTGTGAGGTTAGTTACAGAGGGTGCTGAGGCAGAGGAAGGCTCTGGGGTTCAGGCACATCTCTGGGCTTTGTAGAAGCGTCTCCCCTCCCTCCTGAGCCCTGGCCCTGTCAGTCCCATTGCCGGCTTTGGCTGGGGACCCAAATCTCAGGACACAAAGAGGCTATTTAGGTGCAAATATCCCTAATGAATAAAGAAAGG